CCCCCAAGCTAGCAGGACAAGAGAAAAAGGAATTATGTTCCCAGAGAAATTCTGCAGCAGGCAAAAAAGAGAATTGCTCCTTTCCTCCCGAGGCTCCTGGGAAACAAGATATGCCTACCAAAAGGTGGAAGGCTGAGCAGAGGTGCCCCCCGGGGCCCTGGAGGTGTTTACGTCACCGTAAGCCATGCCAGCTCTTTCCTCAGTTAGCAGGTGGAATGGTTTGAAGACTACTTTGGCCCAGGGAGCGGAGGGGCACGGAAACCCCAAATGGCTGGTGCCACCGTGGGCATGCTTCACTGGAGCCTGAGGCGGTTCGGTGATGGACGCCCAGGTCATGTTTACACCACAGACAGACAACAACAACACACCCCCCCTTAAACCAGTTGAACCCTCATGGCTCCCTGCCCGCGGCAGTTCTATGAGGGCTTCTGCCGTGACATATCCTCACTGAGCTGGCATTCCCAGGCTTCCCGGGAAGAAAAGGGAGCCAGGAAAGAGAACTGGTTTAATTTTTGTAACACGACTGTTCCAGGCAGGCAGTGGCGCAGCAGGGCCACTATGTCAACTCTCCGGGCAGCGTTCAACATCACAGACAAGGTAACAGCAGAAGACACTCTCTTGTCCTGCAGTGCCACACCAGTCCCCCCCCCTCCTTTGAGCAAAAAAGGTCAACTTCAGATATAGAATGATTTAGTCTGATCTACACAAGCACATACAGTGACACGGCACGACGAGGAGGAGGGATGGGGACCCTCCCCAGGAGAGAGCAAGCTGGGCCCCGACATACTGGGATAAGAGTCCCCTGGGGGGCCCAGCCTGGCGCTCCCTCCCCAAAGCCACTTCCAGATCCACAAGGTGGGAGGAGACGGGTTCGGATGGGGACTGGAGGAATCGGTGGGAGAATCCACAGCAGGAGGAGAGAGGAAACGCTTAGAAGATGGGGATGTAGTTGTCGATCTTCGCCCGGTGGCGCTGGGCGATGCACTCAGCAATCCACACGATGTTGCGGCATTCTTGCTCCTTCAATTTCACAAACGCATAGAAGACGCCAAAGTGGAACTGGTTCAGGAAGGCCAGCTTGTTCAGCTTCACCTGTGAGCAGTGGAGGCAGAGACAGAATTGGTTATGACAGGGATTGGCAACCCTCCTCCACTTAAAAAAGTCGAAGTACGTCAAGACTGGGAGCCACGAGATCAACGACGAGCCGGGAGATGAAAGCCCCACTTGCTTTGCTGAAACTACACAACGGGACATGGCTGATGATAATGAATAATCCTTAACATTTTTGCAGCCCAAACACAGGTTGTCACAAGTCCTGTGTTAGGAAGTGGCGCACACACAAGGCCTCACAATTAAGCAATACATTCAAAACAGGAGCACACTGAGCAATTGTTGGTGTGCTGGCATAAATCCACACATGGTTCATACTTCGATTACTGGCAACGGTTAGCCCCTAATCTTTTCCCTTTTCGCAAAGCATCTCTAAGAAACCTAAGAGTTTGCCTGCCATTCCCTTCACAGACTGCTTATTCTAGCGTCCCACCTACTCCTCCAAATATACCTTAACTTAAAGACTTTGTTTTCTTTTTTAAGGAGCTGCATTTGGTTCCATGCTTGGCTCTGGAGTCATCGGTCACAAACTGCTGCATTACTGTACCCGTGAGCCTGCCTCCCACTCTTCCCCACCATCATTCCCCTCCCCTTGACTGGATACAAACTTTTCTGATGCTGGACACACAAAACCCCAGACACAGTGTGTGTGTGGGGGGAGAACATACACATACACACACACACACCATACTAGGCTTTTCAAAGTTTTGCATGTTGAACGAGGAATCTTCTATTTTTTCTGCAATCTTGATCCAAAATACAAAGGATTTTGGTGGCTGCTGGCACAGATTTCCAGCTCCCACTTCACCGCAAGACAAGTTTTGCAACTGCCTTGCAGGGTAAACTCACATGAAACCATCTTGGGGGAGGAAGGGAAGGTCCAAATGCGGCTCCCACATTGCGCCCCTCCCCATTTTGGCTACAGCTCTCTGAAGAGGATTTGGTTCCTATTGCACAGAACAGGGTAGACAGTTTTCCCTTCCGGCAGACGATCCACGTGCCTTTCAGGAGCTCGAGAGCCTGCTTCAATAGAGAAGCGGCACCACCAGAACCAGCGAGGCTCCCGTGAATAGCTGGACAGCTCATGTGTCTATGTTCCTGCCAAAACCACAGCCATTCATGCTTGTCCTCCTCATACCTGGCTTGAACTCCTGCTATCAATCAAGCCAAGACTGAACAAATGCATCCCGGGCAGTTCCTGGTCCTGGCCTGCCTGCTGCTCTGGAGCAGACCTGGCTACTGTGGGCCAGCGCCTTGGTGCTTACTGAGCCCTGACCCTGCGACAGGTGCTGCAGCACAAAGACACCGCCCGTGCCACTTGCAGAGCTGGCTGGTGCTTGCTGCTGGCTGCTTCCCGGGACAGCAGCAGCAGCAGCAGGCCCTGCATCGAGGCGCTTCAGCCCTCTTTGCCGGAGGAATGGCTTGCAGAGCACCAGCTGGCACAGCCTCGCTGAAGAGAGATGTTAGGAAAAATACTAATGCACATGCGCTACATCAGGGCTTCCCAAACCTGCTGACCCTGTGGGCGGGCACCTCGGACCTTTTGAGGATGGGCACCAGTATAAAATGGCTGCGGGCACCGAGGGTCGGGAGATGCCAAGCTGAGCCTCTTCCTTTGATGGAGCCGGCTGGTGCCAAGGGGGTTGGGGAGGGGCTGTGGTTCAGTGGGCGTCTGCTTGGCATGCAGAAGGCCCCCTCTGTTCAACCCCTGGTGTCTCCAGTTCAAAGGACCAGGGAGGAAGTGAGGTGGAAGACCCACCCTGAGATGCTGGAGAGCTGCTGCCAGTTTGAGTAGGCAACAGTGATGTCAAGGGACCAAGGGGCTGATGCTGTATAAGGCAGCTTCGTGTGTCCAAGTGGGTGCCTCCCGGTAGACAGGAAGGGGATGCTTCCTGGATTTTCTTCTGGAGCACTTCCTGACTCCAGTCAGGTGGCAGAAAAAGCCAGGAGGAGGAAGGGATCCCCAGGAAAAGCAGCAGTGCCCCTGGGTGCCACACTGGGGAACTCTGTTCTCATCAGATAAATGCAAGCTTGGGAAGCAAGACGTTAGGTCTGGTGCAACGTCACTGGTGCACCTTTTCCAGGGAGCCAGCTCGGCCTGCCTGAGGCTAGACAAAGTGACAAGTCTCGTTCTTGTATTGAACAGGGGGGTTTTGTACTGGCAAAAAACTCTTACATAGCTAGCGAACAAACAATGTACTCGGATAGCTCAACTATCTAGCCAAACCTCATTCATACCAACAAAGGCCCTGGCTAAGTAGGAGGTGCTTGGAGACTCTGCCCACCCAGGGCAAAAACCAGCCGAATGATCCAACTGGGACGGCGTGAAAGGTCTGCTCACCTCGTGCTCAAAGAATCGATCTTCAAGGGTTTTGTCACCAGGGTTGCTGCCTGCTCCTTCAAACAGAAGTTTGTATTCCTGCAGGAGAGAAGGAAGACTGTAGAACGTGCGGGCCCTGGAGGGACCCTTCATCCACCACAGCCTAACACCCAAATATTTATCAGCAAAGTCTGAATGACTCTTTGGTTTCACACCACACTACAGATGCGGAACTAAAGGGAATGACGACAGAGGGCTCTTTTCCCTTCTTAGGGGAAAGCACCAATAAAAGATAAACAAAGCAGCTGAGAAAGGAGGACAGCGTTTCTCTCAAGAGCCTTTTAAGATACTGGTTAAGAGTGTCAGACTGCGATCTGCGAGACCCGGGTTCGAATCCCCAGTCTGCCATGAAACCTCGTTGGGTGATCCGGGGCGAGTCACACTCCAGTTAACCTACTTTGTGGAGTTGTGAGGATGAAGTGGAGGAGAGGAGGATCATGCCAGCTACTTTAGGGGTCCCCAACTGGGGACAAAGGCGGCTATAAATGGAGCTAATGAACAAATAATCACCGCTCGGAAAAACCCTGAGTGGCCTAAGGGGCTGAGCTCAACCATTAAAGAGCTTTTAAAAGTCATAAGATGGCACAAGGCTGGGGGGGAGGCATTATTCACCACTAGTGATGCCAAAAGCCACCGTCCAGCAAGTGGCCGAGGCACGTGGCACACACCTTTGCACTGCACGCAGCCTAACGCACGCAGCAGGCTTTACCCAAGGCACGTGGGGGGGGGGATGTTTGCATTTCCATAGTGACAAGCCTGGGGAAGGGGAAGTGCCAGAAAAGTGCTGCTCTTTAAAAATGTGTCTGAACATCCCTGCAATGCCAGAGCAGCCGCTGGGGCGTTTGTTAAGCTACAAAAAGCTGATTTTTGGAGAGCCCACATCACTTCTGGGAAGGAGAAGCAGCGGAGTCACACCAGGAAGAAGGAGCTCTAGAAAATCACAGGGTGTTGCAAAAGGCCCTTACAAATGGAGGGGGGGGGGAGTCACGAAGCCGCTCAGTCCACTGGTGGCCTAGAATGAACCCTAGGAGAATGCCCCCGAGACAGTCTCGTGGAGTCAGTTGGCCAACCCCAGCCCCGCCCACCTTCTCCTCCCCTCCAGAGCAAGCTGAGTCACTTACTGGGTAGTAATCGGCCACGGCTTTGACTTGCTCATAGTCATCCGCTCTGGCCAGCTGAGCCAGGCCCTCTGGATAGAGCTTCCCGCAATGGGGGAACAGCTTGGCCCGATCCTCCTTGGAGAGTTCTGTGCCAAAGGAGTTGATGGTGATAATGAAGGCCCTCCTGTCGGCTTCAAACTGAAAGAAGAGACGGGACAGGTGAGCCCGGGGAGGGCTGGGGGAGGCAGGAGACGGAGGTGGACTCAGCAACCCCAGCAGCGAGAGAGAGAGCCAGCCAGGCACTGGCCGTATGAAAAGGAGCAATAAAGAGGATTTATGGCCAAGGCTGCCCAGCTGATGTGCAAAAGTAAAACCCAAAATACCAAGAACTCAAACTAGAATGTAACTCCTTTCTCAGGACTTCTAACAGCGTGCCAACTTTAGAGTTCACCAGAATTCTTCATCAGGCCAAAAGGTACAATTAAAAAAAAGAGAGAGGTGAAAAAGCAGGTCTTGAATTTAAGACCTTGCCCTGCCAGTATATGGTGGATCTCCTGTCAGCTTGCAGAGGTGTGCCCATGTTTGTAGTAAATTAAAAACAAAAGGCCAGCAGCACCTTAAAAAGACTAACAACATTTATTTCAGTTAAGCACTTTCATGGACCAGTGCTCACTGCTTCTTCGGGGATCTCACTCACAAGACAGGCATTATTTCAACTTTAAATCTGGGGAGGGGCAGAACACCTGTTTGGCAGAACACCTGTTTGACAAAGAGAAGGTCACAGATTCAATCCCTGGCGTCTCCAGGTAACAGTCAGGTGATGTGAGAGACCTCACATTCAGGCTTTGGGTAGCCACTGCCAGTCTGAGTAAGCAAGACTGACTGGGATGGGCCAAGGGTCAGGTTCCGTATGCAGCCACTTCCTGTGCTTGAACCAGGGTTGCCAGCCTCCAGGTGGGGCCCGAGGGTCTCCCAGAATCACAACTGATCTCCAGACTGCAGAGATCAGGTCCCCTGGAGAAAAAATGGCTGCTGTGGACACATACTCCACTGAGGACCCTCCTCTTTGGCCAGCCTAGTTCAACCTCAAACTGCAGCATTTGCCTTTGGCACTCGATTCCATGTGTTAGTTGTCGCAAGGCTCAGCAAACACATCTGCAATAAGTGTCCCGAACAAGAGCTCTGCAATAAATTCCAGCTTCCACCCAAGAAAAACTAAATATACCCTAATGCAACCTGAATGACTTTTCCCTCAAGCACAAAACGTTATATTCTTTAGTCTCAAGGTGAGAAGCAACAGTCTTTGACATGCAACAGAACACTGTTTCTCGAACAGGCGCCCAAGCGAGCATTCCAGAGGATTCCCAAGTCCTTCAGAAAGCTCTCCTAGTACCACCCAGTTAATAAGAAAGTGGGTCCCTTTCAGTCATTAAGAAATGCAATGAGGGAACCCTACATCTCATGGGACAGGGGACAGCAATGGCTGCCCCCTCTTTCTAAGGGTAGAAGTTCAAACAGCCAACACCCCTTGCACCTATGGAGCTTCCAGATCTCACCCAATCACTAGCCAGGAAACACACCGATTGGTTGCCAGGACCCAGGAGCTCAGGCCTAGAAGATCCAATCGGCTGAGGAACATCCAGGCAGTACGAACTAATGCTATTATCCTAGTTACTTTGGGTATAAAAAACCAGGTTGCTTCGCTGTAACTGATGATCTTCAAGTGGTCATCTGAGCATTCACACCTCTGGGATACAGTGCACCTGCACCGACCCTGATCAGTAAGCTTGAAAGCTAAAGGGATTTTCGCGCCCACTCCCTGAGTCACATGCACTGTGCATGACTATAGGGAGGGGAACGATGATCCCGCCAGTTCCTTCTGACGGTCGCCGCTAGTCCCAAAGAAGAACACGAGAACCAACAGCAGTGGGGAAAGAGGGCGGGTGGTGTGAATACACAGATGACCACTCAAAGATCATCAGTTACAGGTAAGCAACCTGTTTATCTTCTTTGAGGTCTCTGTGCATCACACCTCTGGGAGAGTAACAAGCAAAAGGCCTACCTGGAGGAGGGTGCTGGCAGGTCAGACACACACCAACATGCAACACAGAACATCCAACCGAAGTCTTCCGATGGAGACGCACATTGAGGGCATAATGCTTCACAAACGTGTGAGGGGTAGCCCAAGTCGCTGCGTTGCAAATGTCACAAAGCGAAGTGCCCTTCAGGAAAGCTGTAGGCATAGCCAGAGCCCTGGAAGAGTGGGCATGGAGCGGACCCGGAAGTGGTTTCTTAGCCAACACGTAACAAAGCTTGATGGCTTCCACTATTCACTTGGATAGTCTCTGAGATCATACCTTGAGGCCAAGTGAAGGCGTGGCATAGGAAATAAAGAAGGCTGGAGTCTTACGAAAAGACTGAGTCCTGAGTGGAGATGACACTCAATGTCACCCTTCAGATTTGGGAAGAACACAAGAAGCATGACGTCCGCTCGCAAGTGGAACTCAGAAACCACCTTGGGCAGAAAGGAGACATCAGGGGCTAATGAAACTCCATCCTGATGAAAGGCCAGATAGGGAGGGTCGCAGCAGAGGGCAGACAGTTTGCTCACTCTCTGTGTTGAAGTAATGGTGACTAGAAAAGCTGTCTTCCAGGAGAGAAGCTGTAGGCTGCATGCAGCCATAGGTTCAAACGGACGCCCGACACCGAATAGCATGACACGGGGGAGTGGGTGCGAAAATCCCTTTAGCTTTCAAGTTTACTGATGGGGTCAGTGCAGGCGCACTATATCCCAGAGGTGTGATGCACAGAGACCACAAAGATCTGACTTTGTTTTTACTAGACAGACAGACACCACAGAAACCAGAGATGATTTTAAACTGAATACCAGCAACTCAGGTTGTGTGACATGCCGGTTTCCTTCTATTCCCACAAGCAGCTCTGAAATGTCTTCCAGCTCCCATCCCACCCCTGTGGTGTGGACCTCGGGCAGAAGTCATTACCCAATAAGGACATCCTGGTGCAAAAATCTTCCCAATCAAGGGGATTAAAAATGTGGGCCAGGGACTTCTGAGTTGTGGCCCTGCAGAACCAGTTGCCCTGAGGGAACCTACTCACCTTGTAAGGCCATATGGAGACAATGGAAACTTTTTTCCCCCTTGAAGCTTGCTTTTAAAGGGTTGCCAAAGGGCATGAATGGCTTGCCACACTTACCGGGAAAATCAGACAAGGAGGGCTTGGGAAATCTGGGAAACGTTTATATCAGAATTAGGACCCCCCCAGTTGCTAAAGTTACAGAAATGCTGCACTACGGGAGGAGAAAAAAGAGCCAGCTGAACTCAAACATGCTCCTTACCAAACGAAGAAGCCTGTTTGTTTACAGGAAACGCTCAGGTCGAGACACTGGCAGGCCTCCAGAAGGGAGGGAAATGCAGAGCAGTGAGACAACTTGCTTTGATTTTTTTTTTCAATGGGATTGCTTGACTGAATACTGGCACTTGCAGCAGGAGATGCGGCGGACCAAGCCCCAAAACACTGGCACTGATGGCAGCCACCGGCTCCTGTCAACAGGCCTGGAACCGAAAAAAAAACTCTAGCGAGACTCCGGAGCTGGCTCTTACCTCCAGGATGGGGCACATGGCATCAGCGGTCGTGCCTCCCAGGATCTTGCAGAACTTATAGAAGGACTCGAGGTAGGCCTGAGAAAAAAAAAATAACCAAGCCACGGAGAGAGCAAGTCAGCCTCACAAACATATTTGTCATCAGCTTCCCAGATGCTCCGAGTCCGCACTCGGGGGGGGGGGGTGTTCTATGTCACTTTCAGAGTAAATACTGCAGCCAGGACTGATCCCCCCACCCCCATGTCCCTCTGCCCTCTAGAAGTTTTCTCTTACCCCACCCCACCGTGAGCACACCGAAGAAATTACTTCACCCATTAGCCAGCCACGCTACCCGTGGGCCCCCTTCTTCTGCTAGGAAAAATGGTCGAAACGAGAAGCAGCAAAAGCACGTCGGTGTGCATTTCCCCACCCGGGGTGGACCATCAAAATCTCTAATTACCCAGAAGCAAGTTGCACTTGACAAAGACAAATCCCCAGGCTGCACCCTGGCCTAGCTTCTGCCCGCCTCTATATACATGAGAATGAATGGACACATGGGAACCAAGAAGGAACATTTCCCAGTAGAGTTAAAAAAGAGAGGGAGAGAGACTCAAATATACAAATGAACACTGGGAGACCTGAATACTGGGAGACCTGAGACCATTACTGGGGGAAGTGACGGTGGGGAGAGGTCTTGTGGACCTTGGTCAACTGAAAGGGAAACTCTCAGTTTCCAAAAGCCATTTCTTCACTTCTGGCTCCATTTTGTTAACTGACACCACCCCCAACCTCGTGCATCCGACCAAGGGAGCTCTCCCCTACAGACGCTCCTAACACAATCGGTTGGCCTAGGGACTGAGCCGCCTCGCTGTGACCGAGACGCCCCTCAACGGAACAAGCGGAAAGCTTTGGGGAACAGCAAAACTAGAACCGCCTGGTGCAAGTGCTCGAGTTCTCCACTGTAAAGTTTGCTCCCTCTGCTACCATCATTTGGGAAAAACTGGCAGGTCAGCCGCTCTCTGCCCCTTTCCCTTTAAGTCTCACAAGGGCTACCGTGGCAGACCCAGCCCCCCCTTGTCCCAGACACTGAACTCTCTTCTGTCTACATCTGGCCGTGGAAGAGAGACACAGACTGCTTTCACGCAGGTCTCTGCTGGATGCCACAGCTTTCTGCCAGTCCATAGGACTAGGCAAGCAATGAGCCAATGGGCAACTGTTACACCACACGCACACACACCCTCTTCCTCAACCAACGCTTCTGCATGTGTGCACACGACTTTCCCTCTTCTGCCCATTAATGCATGCACAGCAGCTCTGGAAATCTCAAGTGCTTATCACAGAACACAATCTTCCATTACAGATCCAACTCTAGCTAGTTAGGGTCAGTGGCCACCAAGAAAAAGAGATATAATCAATGCCCCATGACTTGCCAGGTGGGAGATGGGAGCGATAGCACCACTGCCACCGACGGGCCATCCTTGTTGATTTCGGCGCTTGGAAACCAACTGGATCCAGCTCAGACCAGGCAACGCCAGCTGGAGTGAGCTGCGGCAGGCTCCCCGGAGTCCAGAGGCAAGGCACACCTCCACATTCCAAGAGGGGCCTCGCTTCACCACACCCTGCACATGCCCACTTGCTCCAAGGCCAGGACTGGAGTCAGGACTGGTTTAAATCCAACGCCAGCAGAGACAAAGGTGATTTCCTGTGAGACTCTGCACTCTCGCACAGCATCCCGTTTAAACAGGTCTGCTACTCGTCTTGAAAAGAAAGGCTCCGGGAGTTCAAAGTCCCGCAGGTGAGCTCTCTCGCCTCAGCTGAGTCTTCCTTGTTTCCTTAAGGCAGCAGGTGGTTCTGCAGTACTGCTGAGCGACAAGGTGAATTCCAGAACAGCCCTGTGGCCTGCCAAGCCCAAGCAGGACAACCCCTGATGGGGCGGGGGGGGGGGCTCAGAGGAACAGAAAACTGTGATCTTCCTCTCAAAAACTCGGCTGGGTACTGCAGCAAGCCTACCAGAAGGAGCCGGTGTGTAAAACCGGTGGGTCAAAATGGCCCTCCCACCGACACAGCCAGGGTGCAACCGTCTCCCTTGCTTTCAGCACAAACATCTGGCACCAAGGAGACAGAAGGGGGTCTGGAATGGTTTTCTCTATTACTCTCCCAGTCCAAATGCTCATCCTTCTCTTGCTCATTCATCCCTAGACAGTCGCCTCCAGTTTCTCACTGCGCCAGTGAGGTAAAAAGGTGGCAGCTGCAGCCGAGAGACATGACCTCTCTTACACTTTAGGATTTTCCAAGCCACATGGAGGGTTCTCTTTTGACCCACTCACAACAGGGGGCACGTGCTGCGGGTAAGGCACGGCTCCAAAAGACAGGGACGACAGCCCCCCTCTCTGCTTGCTCTCACAAAGCTGTTTCTAGCGCTGCTGGGGGATGCTCTTTCATGGACGAAATGCTTGTGAATGGTTGGCAAGAGGTAGAAGGATAATCCACGGAATTGCTCCTCAAACAGGTCCTTGGCAAGATCTCGGGCAGTAATCGCAGCAAGAAAAGCAATTAAGCACCCCACCCCCACCCCCCGGCAAGGACATAAGGGCAGCCAGGAGCCCCTGGGTGGCTGTGCCCTCTCCCCCACTCCTCCTCCCGAGGGGACAATAATGGCATTAATAAGTTACTTACAGATTCACAACAGAGCACGCCGAGCACTGCATTTGGGGCAGGGTGGAGGGTGAGCACAGGCGTAAAGGGCCTTCAGCCTGGTCAGCGGCTGCTTCTGCAATCCCCCCCCCCGCTCCCCGCTTTATAAAGTGAGATTAGCATCTTCCCCCTCTCGCAACTCTTTTACCTTGTACAGCGTATTGCGAATGATTTCAATGTTCATCTCATCAAGGTCTTGCTCTGAGATGCAATCCTGGAAAAAGGCAGCTGGAAGACAAAGGGAATTGTGAGGTGGGGTGGCCAAGGCCCCCTCCACTGGACGACCAGGTCCCTGGGCCTGGACCAGTTTCGACTCATGGGGTGAACAGGCAAGTCAGAGGGAGGACTCTTGAGTGCACCTCCAAGGAACGATCCAATGCAAAACAGCAAATTGTATTAAAGCATTAAAAGACTGCAGCAGTTTCCATGCCAGTTGGTCAGTTTGATGAAAACAGGAGGAATTTCTGCAGTTACTGAGTTGCAATTTCGTATTGATGTGCAACTGCAGGCCACTGTCAGAGAACCAAAGGATTCCAGCCTGTGCCCCCTCCCCGAATCACAACTCTCCCCACAATACATTCAGGCCAGGGCCCTGCCTCACCTAGGGGTGTGTCCACCAGGATGGCGTTGTACAGCTCGGCCGGAGTCTGAGCGATGTTCACCGCCTCCATCTGCTCAAAGCTTCCCAGGGGGTGGCACTTGGGCACCAACTCGGCGATGGAGCGCTGGTGCAGCGTCCCGGTGATGAGCAGGATCACGTTGTCAATCATGTAGCTGTACCTGCATGGAAGCAGCAAGGTGGGCAGGTGCTGAGGCTCTGCTGGATGGCTCAGTAGGGGGAACGGGGCGACCCATCCCCACCCCCACCCTAAACCAGCTTCTCACGGTTACTGGGGGCATGAAATGGGGTAGGGGAGAGGAAAGACCCCAGAGAAGCCACCTTGAACTCCTCAGAAGGAAGGGCAGGAAGAGAATAAAACTTTCTCATGTCTAAGCCTTAAACTGAGCCAGGGCAAGACCGCTGAGGCTGCTGAATGCGATTCGGGACACATTTAGGATTTTTTAAAAATACTCTTTATTAGCAATACTAATGGATAATAATAATTATTATTATTAGATACTGGGTGTAGATTAGTCAAGAGATCCTAAGATTGTCTGGCAGCCAGATGTTCTAGCTCTTTTAGCATTATGCACCACCAAGTGCCGAGCAAGTTTCAAGCCCAGTAGCACTTTAGAGACTGACAAGACTTCCAGGGAACAAGCTTTCGAGAGTCAAAGCTCCCTTTCTCAGACACCTGAAACTAAGGTTAATGATAAGAACAAGTTATAAGAACACATTACAAAGTACATGAATAAAGCAGTTAATTAACTATGAAGGGATAATAACCAGTGACATTCCAAAACAGGCTTGCTTGGATCACTAAGCCAGGGTGGTGTCGTGCTCAGAGTGCCAGACTAGGATCTGGTAGACCCAGGTTCAAATCCCCACTCTGCCATGCAAGCTTCCTGAGCAACCTTGAGCCAGTCATTTGGCTTAACCTACCTCACAGGGTTGTTGTGAAGATAAAAACGGAGGAGAGGAGAATGACATATTTATTTATTTATTTATTAGATTTATATCCCGCCCTCCCCGAAGGCTCAGGGCGGCTAACAAAGAGGCACAAGTGCCAAAGTTAAAACAGATAAAAACAGAATAAAACAATACAGTACAAACACTAAAATGCCGGTGCTCTAGATGTCACAAAATCAGTGGTTGCAAGATGGGGGTCTGGTAAAAGTTATTAATTCCAGGCCAACAACATACCGTACCTCCTAGCAACACAATCATCCCATCTTCATCCAGGAATGTCTCGCACCCCATTTAATATCCGCACAATTGATGATCGAGGTGCGAAAGCCTGGCGGATGAGCTCCATCTTGCAGGCCCTGCGGAATTGCGCAAGGTCCCATAAGGCCCAGATCTCTTCTGGGAGCTCGTTCCACCAGGTAGGAGCCGCCAATGAAAACGCCCTGGCCTTGGTAACAGCAAATTTGATATTCCTGAGGCCTGGGATTACCAGGAGGTTTTAACTCCCCGACCATAGTGCCCTTGGGGGAACATGCGGGGAAAGGCGGTCCCTTAGGTGTCAGCTACGCTGTCATGAGTGTGAAGATGTTTTCTAATTGCTTTGCATTCCTTCCCATGCGCTTAATTGCTTCAGAGCTGCAACACTTATCTTTGATGTTGTACTGGTGGAGTATGTGGTGTCTATCGTCCATGGGAGCTTCTCCGTTCCCAGCTTCGCAACCATTAGAGAGGCCAGCAGTCTCCCGCGTGCGGGAGCCCACCTAATTGGTTATTGCTGGGGGGGGCACATACGAATGCCCTATATCCTATTATGTGCACAGGTAGCCCATCATTCCTAACAGTGTTCCTGTTGTTGCATCTATGGCTTTTCAATAAAAGTAAAACCTTCCTGAAAGCATGTACTTCGTTGTTTAGCTGTGGGTCCTGACATTCTGTTAGGAATCCTTCATTCCCTATCTCAGCGCCTCTCTCTCTCCCGAGATGAGCGACGGAGAGGGGAAACCATCTCCTAAGGAGCCGAATGGCGAGGACAGGAAAACTCCCATGACCCAGGCGCCGGTACCGGTGACTTCAACGCCGCCGGTAACCAGTGCTGTGGGGGGGGGGACTCTCCCGAAGTCCTCATCGAGCCCATGTTCCTGCCCCCCCCCCCCGGGTCCGAGGCGAAGGACCGGGCCGGGCTACCGACCAAGCTCCAGTTGGAGCCACTTCAACCCAGACTCAACGGCAGAGACTTATTTGCTGATGCCCCCCCCCCCGAGAGACAGTTTATTTGCACGGGAGCTTGCTGCGTTGGTGGGTTTAGCAGAGAATGGAGGTGGCTGATCAAGAGAGACGGCACCTGCAGCAGACCCTGGAGGATATCATCCAGGCCATCCCAGAACTGGTGACCCGGGCCGTCAGGGAAGCAAGTGAGGCACCGCCAGTAGCCCCAGTAGTACCGGCAGGACCGCCAGTACCGGCCCGAGGGGTCCCAGCCCAGCCTGGAGAAGAGCCGCCACCGGGACCGGGGGAAGCCCCGGTGCCTGCGCTGCGACTCGCTAGCCCGAGAGGACAGGCGGTGCACCGCCCTAAGGACTTAATCGAAGCTACGTTTGATGGAAACCCGGAGCAGCTATCCTACTTTGTGGTGTGGGTGCAGAAATTCGTGGATCGCTCGGGCCACCTGTTCCCTGATGACAGCAGTCGAATTGATGTCATGGCTGCCCGGCTCTGAGGCCCCGCGGCGGCTTGGTATGTGGGGCTCCACAATGCACAGGGTCTAGAACTTACCAACTTGGACACTTTTATGTGGGCGTTGCGAGCCCACTTTGAGGATCGAAACGCGGGGCCTAGGGCGCAGGCGTTCCTGCGCACCCTAAAACAAGGGCGCAGATCGGTGCGTGAGTATTCGGCTGAGTTTAAACAACATGCGGCCAAGGTGCAAACCTGGCCTGACAACGTGTTGGCCGAACTGTACCAAGTGGAACTGAACCCCGAGATCAGGGAGACGGTGCTGAGAGCAGTTGACCCGGTCTCCCTCCCCACATGGATGCAGGAAGCAGAAAGTGCCGAAAACCGCTTGCAAACCCTGCGCTTGGATATAGCGGCGGCGGGGGGGCGTCCGGCCCCTCGAGCACCAAAAGCTAAGCCAACAAGGCAAATGGATGCTACGCGAGAGCAACGCATGCGGCAGGGCTTATGCCTGAGGTGTGGAGAACGGGGCCATTTCGCGGCTGATTGCGGGGGACCCGGGCACCGGGAAACAACTGAAGGGGCGAAGGTGTGCCCAACCACCCCTGCGAAAAAACCAACGGGGAAGCCAAAATTTGCTAAAGCCTTGCAAGCAACTCCTGAGGAAGAAGGAACGGAATAGAGCGGAGAGGACCCCGAACCGGCGGGAAATGGTTCGGTCCTGCTGTAGAAGGCGCAGAGCAGCAGGGCCCGCAACCGGAAGCGCCAAACGCGGTGAGCAATTTCCCCTCCCTGTTTTTTCGTGACTGTCTCGCAAATTAATCCTGATCTCGGAACCCACCTCCGAGTGAGAGCCCTGATTGACTCGGGGTGTAGGAGAGGCTTGATCAACCCACCTTTGGTTACGGGACTTGAAGCTGGGGTAATAAATTTACAGGAACCCCTGATTTTCACCCAAATGGACGGGTCTCACATGAAAGACCCGTGCAAATACGAAACGGTCCCGTTAAGACTGGGGGCGGGGGAAGGTATGGGAACATATTCTAATGGATAAGATTTCTGATAGACTTACCAGAAATGAAGATATAACAATAACAAGTATGCAGACTTTTTATGGTCAATGGCACCCAATATTGGAAAATTTAGAAAAAATTCTTGAACAGATTAAACCTAGTCAGAAATCTCAATATTATTCATTTATACAGAAAGAGTGGTCAATGTAACAAGTTGTAATATTATAGATTTCATTTCGTAAAGAAAAAGATTATATTATAGAAACAATGTTTGTACAGCATATATTTACAAAATAATATTGCTATTTATATTTTTGTTATTGTTAAAATTGTTACAGTTTTGGTTATATTTTTGTTTATATATTATCTTTAAAATAAAATTATTTTAAAAAAAAGACTGGGGGCAGGGAACACTGGGAGACCCGAGCCTTCGTGATCACCCCGACTGCTCGATTTCCCCTCGTATTGGGACACCCTGGCTTCACGGGCACGATCTTTACATACTGTGGGAAGAGGGGAGGGTGCAGTTTATTTCGCCTAAGTGCCAGGAGCACCAATGGGATGCTAGCTGGGGCCCAAAACCCTCGGGAGAGAACCCGGGAGCATGCTTGGTGGAAGAAACTGCTATCCATTCCTCCTGAATATTGGGACCTGGCCAAGGTTTTCAGGGAGGAGGAGGCAGATGAATTGCCACCACACAGACATTCAGATTGTAGCACTGAAATCTTGCCGGAGGGGAAATTTCCCAAAGGACGTATTTATGCGATGGGCCCAGCTGAGAAAGATGAGCTCCAAAAGTTCATCGATAAGAACTTGGCTAGGGATTTCATCAGGCTGGCCTCGTCCCCGTATGCGGCTCCGGTGCTTTTCCGGAAGAAAAAAGATGTCGGCTTGCGACTCTGCACGCGGCCAATTCGAATACCTGGTGATGCCCTTCGGTCTTCAGGGGCCCCCGGGGGTCTTCATGAACTTGATCAATGAAGTGTTGCACAAGCACTTGTTTAAGGGGGTGCTCGTTTACCTTGATGATATCCTCCTGTACTCCTCCACATTGACTTTTTAGGCCCTGGCTATATAGGGCTTTAAAGGTAAGAACCAGCACTTTGAAGTGGATTTGGTATGCCATTGGCAGCCAGTGCAGCGCTTTCAGCACAGGCCGGATGTGCTCCCGCCTGGAGAGACCCATCAACAGCCTGGCTGCTGCATTCTGCACTAGCTGCAGCTTCTGGATTTGTGACAAAGGCAGCCCCATGCAGAGAGTGTTACAGTAGTCTAACCTCAAGGTGACCGTCGCGTGGATCACTGTGGCCAGGTCATTACTTCAAGGAAAGGGACCAACTGCTGAGCCAGCCGAAGGTGGTAAAAGGCCGACTTGGCAGTGGCTGCCACCTGGCCTCCATCGTTAAGGAGGAATCCAGGAGCACACCCAAACTCCTAACCTCGGACGCTGGCACTAGAGGCGCCCCATTGAAGGTCGGGAGAGGGAGCCCCAGGCCTGAACCGATCCGACTCAGACCCAGGACCTC